CGGCTGACGTTGAGGACAGAGTCCAGTGACAGATGGCCCGACTTCAAAGAAGTCGGACTGTAGGAATTGGTTGCCGGAATCCGCTCACAAATTGTTTTGTTGTTGCCGCTATGTTATTCTGGTGTATGTTTATGTTTTATCCCGGACCATGTAAAAACGAAACCATTATTGCCACTATGAGCAATAATGAGACCACGATGAATAATTCAGGGGAAATCACAGTACCCATTAAGAGAAGGGATGCAAATGATAGAATGACTGAGTTAATTATCAAAGCCATACAAGGGAATGAGGATTTTGGTATATTTATGGAAAAATGCAAAAGTTAGAATTGGAACAACCCCAACTGACTACAGTGACTCCCAAGAAGTTCCCTATGACTGCCTTTCTGGGAAAGAGTGCCAAAGATAAAAAACAACTCTTAATTCACTCAATAAAACCCCTTAATAAATTTGCTTATAGTAAAGGGGACAGTAATGAAAAAACCCCTAAGACTACTCTCCCTCCTTTGAATTACACTGGCATTTATGACGACAATGGAGAACATATTATTGAGGTAAATGGGAAGCATGTTAAATTTTTAACCTTATCTTTATGGAAAAGAATAAAAAGGGTTGGCCCAGTTAGGTGCGTTAGATCTATTGAAGACAAAATAAGGTGTACAAAAATGTTATTACAGAGTGGATTGTGTAGATGGTGCATAATGGAAACAGAACAGTGGAAGCCCGATTGAAAAGGCAGATAAAAGAAATGGAACAAAGGCTTAAAGAACGTAAAATTGATGAAGCATAGAAAGAATATTTAGCTAACTTAGACCTTTGTAGACTGAACTTTGTATTTTAAGTTCATGCCAATTTTCTCCTATCTACTTCCTTGAACTTGAACACTGTTTGGGACCATTACCACAGACTTATTTCAAGAACCATTCATGTCTACGGTTAATCACAATGTATGTTGTCAAGATTGAAAACTTAAATGAACCAGTCACCCAGAAAGAACGTTCCGAGAAGATTTAAACAAAACCTCCTGGAAAACTCTATGCTTTGCACCTTTTATTATTAGAATTTTTTTCTTTCCGTTTTGATTGTATGGTTGTCAGAAAATATTGTTTAAATAGAACCTTAAAATTGTAATAAAGCAGCATATTGCTCCTGACTCTGCTCATCCCTCTTGCATTGACGCCTTACCCACCGAACAGGGGACCCCTCACCCTGCCGCGGCTGGACTGCGGCAGCTACTAAGGTCTAACTTAGCTTCTTGTCCAAAAATAGCAAACCGTACTTAAGACATTTTTCTTTTAGTCTCTCATCTCTAATGTTGTCAGGAGTGGGGGGGCAGGAGGGAAGACCGTATATTTCATATACACTTGAATTCCAAATGTGTCTCATCTTTCAGGCTTTGAGAAAGGTTGATAATTTGCAGCAGTGGAAAAACATTTCACTTGTATAAAGGAAAACAAAACAATGCAACCAAATATATTGATTGTGAAGATCATAGTAAAATTGTCACTGGTGCCTTAGTGGTTATATATTGGGCTGCTAATCTCAAGATCAGCAGTTCAAAAACACCAGCTGCTCTGCAGGAGAAAGACAGTGGTGGGGGTTGGGTGGAGGGTGGGGTGGGTGAATAAAAGGGGGTGGAGGGAATGGGAAGGTTTGTATTCCAGTAAAAAATTATACTCTCAGAAACTCATAGGGGCAGTTCCACCCTGTCCTGTAGAGTCACAATAAGTCAGTTTTGACTTGATGGCAGTGGATTTATGCATTACTTCTGGTAATTTTTTTGTATGAGTCCCCAATAAAATGATTTATTACTAAAAATAACCTTCTGGTAATTTTTAATGCTAATCAAATGGTTCAAAGTTCTGTGTGAAGTAATACCCCAATATTTTGAAGTCTTCAGTTAATTTAAGATTGAAAAATGATAGGTAGTGATTTATTCAAATTGACTTTGAATAAGGATAGTATACTGGGTTATATTATTTGAGACTGCAAATCATTCAAAAAATAGAAGTGGATAGATTACTTCTTCCCAAATAGAGAGTTGAAATGAATTCCAGGCAAGAGCCGGGATGGTGAGGAGATTTGGGTCTCTGTTTATGAAGAAAGATTACATCCTACTAGCCACCACAGATCAGTAAGGTGCTTAGGTTGGATTTTTTCTGGGACTTTATTGAAAAAATATACCTGAAGGGACTTCTTTTCTTCCAAGTTCAGAATATGAACTGTCAGCTGTTTTCCTGAACATTTCTGGTGAGTCATAACAGTTATTCACATTTTCAACCAACCAAGTCAGTTCGCGCTTTCCAAGTAGATGCTCGTCTGATTGACAAGTTGTTTCATCAATATTCATTCATTCAACTATTTAGCACAAAATACAAGAGCACCCGTGTTCACCATTACTTTATATCCCAAGCTTTTTTCTTTAAAGTATCAATAGAAGATTTAGAGAGAGGTTTTTGAAAAACATTGAGACACATTGAGTAATTTTCTTCAGAATAGGGATGTTTGTTTCTCTACGATGCAGAAACCCTCAAAGGTAGCTTTCCTAAATATCAACCCACAGTTACAGGAAGCCAGATATGGTAAACCTCTTTCTGGGTGGCTCCCCGCCTGCTGGAGACAATGCAGACCTGAAGAACAAGCAGGTAGGAGGAGACAGCACAGCGGGTTTATTGAGCAGCAAAGGTAGGATGCCCTGGGGACAGACTCCCAGAGGGTCCACCCCATCAAAGGGCGAAAGTAGGGAGAAGCAGCCCAGAGATGGCAGGCCTTTTTTATATGTCTGGCAGCGGCCATTGAGTTGGGGCTGTTTATTTATTTTTTATTTTTTAAGGAGGTTGTCCCGAGTTGGCTGAGACTCAAGTGGTGGTCCCTGATCGACTGGAACCCAACTACATCCTCACTTGGCCAGGTCCTTGGTGGTCAGATTTGGTTTCTGGTGTGCGGTGACTGATCAGTTAGACTGGTCAGGCGGCTTTTCCTGTCCTGGTCAGTTACAATCAAAGAATCTTTTGTGTGGACAAGGAAATTGGTGTTTTACAAATCCAGTTATTTGGGTTTTATAAACATAGTTGTGCATTGAAATCATGGCGATGCATTACAGTTTGATCCGATGTAAAAGAGGATCTAAATTCTTCTAATCCCCAGTCTCTGAACAATAATCAATAGCTACATTTCCAGTCAGCAAGAGATGGCGTTTGTTAATGTTTCGGTTAGTACTACATTATCCAGTATCATAGTTAGGAATGGGTCTTCCTGGAGTGGGTATCCACGTTATTTTTAGTTTGCATTATTAAATTCTAGCAATGGGTTTCCACAGTAAAGTTTAAGCAATGGAAAATCTTTGCTTAGTGGCTTGCAACTTAAGGCTTGTATTATTTATCTGGAATGTTTCTATATTTTATCAGTGATGCGCTGCACTGCCCTCACGGTGACTGCCATGGTTCTATATAAATGCCCGCCATCCGTTCTTCTAATGTTGCATGTTTTCAGCGGTTTGGAAGTTTTGTATATTTATTCTATTAACACAGAGTGTCACAAAATAAGATGTTTGTTACCAGGAGGGTGGTGGTGGGACAAAAAATACTCCAAAACCCAACGGATTCAAGACTGAGTGCTCACTTATCTATGTCAAGAAATTTGTCCAGCTACCTGGACAATAGAATGAAAGATATCCATATTTGTGCCCATTCCAAAGAAAGGTGACCTAAGAAGAGTGCAGGACTTACTCAAACATATTAATATCACATACCAGTAAAATTGTGCGAAAGATAATTAAAAAATGGTGTAGCAGTACATCGACGAGATCTTCCAGAAATTCAAGCTGGATCCAGAAGAGGACATGGCATGAAGGAAAGCGTGGCTGACATCAGATGGATCTTGGCTGAAAGCAGAGAATATCGATCAGAAAGATGTTTACGCATGTTTTATTGATTATGGACAGCTATTCAACAAACAGCGCAACACTGAGAAGAATGGGCACTCCAGACCCTTGGCTGTGCTCCTGTGGAACCTGTACACGGACCAAAGAGCAATCATTCAAACAGCGCTCAGCAGAGGGTACTCAGAGAGGGGGCTGAGAAAAGCAAACGGAACTGGAGGTGGGAGAGAGGCCCGGTAAAAGGCGGGGGACAGCTCCCCGCCAAAGCACTCGTGGGAAAGCCGGACTGCCTTGCCGGGCCCGGGGCGGGGCCTGGGCGACGTGTCGGACCCGCACTGACAAGGGGCGGGGCCTGCGCCGGCCGTC